CACAGACGTCCTCCCGCGTCCACCAACACAGACGTCCTCCCGCGTCCACCATCACAGACGTCCTCCCGCGTTCACCAACACAGACATCCTCCCGCGTCCACCAACAAAGACGTCCTCCCATGCCCACCATCAAACATCCTCCCGCATCCACCAACACAGACGTCCTCCCGCGTCCACCATCACAGACGTCCTCCCGCGTCCACCAACACAGATGTCCTCCCGCATCCACCAGAAGACGTCCTCCCATGTCCACCATCGGCCATCTTCCTGCATGCTCCATCAGACGTCCTCCCACAGAGATGCCAGCACCAAAGATGAATGAAGGCTGGTCCATGCACAGGCTGGCACGGCCAGGGAGGTTCCATTTATCCACAAGGGCCCAAGCAGGCAGAGCAGGGATACTGAGGTGTGAGCAGGTGAGAGGTCACCCATGACCACACAGCCTTGCCAGACATACCATGTGCGTGTGTGTGTGTGCGCGCGTGCGCGTGCGCATGTGTATGTGTGTGTGTGCATGCGTACGTGTGTGTGTGTGTGTGTGTATGCAGTGCATACACACACACGGTGGAGCCAGCAGGGACAAGGGTAGGCAGACGTTGAGGGCATGAGTTGCGGGTCCTGGGGTCTTAGCCTGTCGTCCGAGGGACAGCAAGGTGACCTGCTGACACAGCCCAGGAAGACAGTACTCTTCACCCTGCTTTGGCAAGCAGCTCCTGGACACTAAGAGCGGCTGGCCTCTAAGGTGCAACCCTAGGGGACAAGCCTGTGTGTCCCCCCGACCTTCCAAAGCAGAGGGGAGGGAAGAAATGCAAAGGTGTGCTGGGGTGGTTAGTCCAAGGGACAAAAGGACCTGACTAGTTTCAACTTCATGACCCTAAACTTGGAACTAGCAGGTGCCTGTCCGCCACTGACTGCCCCAGAAGGGACCCCAAAGAGGACCCTGGACAGAGGGGCAGGGGCAAGGGTGGGACAAGACTCAAATGCCAAGACAGCCAGGCTTACAGGTCTCCTAGACAAGGGGGACCCCGAGGCTACAGCCTTAGTCACCTTCAAACCTAAAAGGACATTCACTCCAACGATTCACCTTTCAGTCAAGTGCTCGCTTCGGCAGCACATATACTAAAATTGGAACGATACAGAGAAGATTAGCATGGCCCCTGCGCAAGGATGACACGCAACTTTCAGTCAAATGCCACCCAGGCCTGTGATGACCAGGAACTCCAGAGGTATTCACTCCTCGGAGAAATCAGTCATGCACAAAACGGAGAATGCAGGAAGTCACGATCTAGAAGGATGAACAGAAACAAGAGTCGCAGGGAGGAGCCTGGAGGAGGCCTGCCTTCCCTGTAGGGGCTGTAATCCCATCATAAACAATGGGGGGCTGCCCTTCCCTGTAGGGGCCGTAATGGGGGCTGCCTTCCCTGTAGGACTGTAATCAGTATCATAAACAATGGCGGGATGGAAAACCAACACTCTGGAGCTTTTTACTCACAGCATAATAAAAATCAAAATACATGTACACCCATGTTTATTTTGCAATAGCAAAGAGCTGGAAACAACCCAAGTGCCCATCCACAAATAAATAAATAGAGAAGCTGCGGTATATTCACACAATGAAATACTATGCTGCATTGAAAAATAAGAAACTCATGAAATATTATGCAAAATGGGTGACCCTGGAGGACATTATACTGAGTGAAATATCTCAGTCACAAGAGGACAAATATTGCATAGGGCCACTGTTGTAAAATGGGACTGACATCAGGGTTGAGGGAAGAGAGAAAAAGAGGGGAGGAATGATGTATACTGCATTGAAACAGATGAGGGAGAGAACTGTTTAAAAGGGACATATGAATGGGTATTCTTGTCATTACAGAAGTCCAGGGGAAAGACTGCACAGTGGAGTGAACTTGGAGGGAGGGATTGCATAACAATGAAAGAGTTTTTATTTTTCTTTTCAAAGAGAAGAGTGATTTGCGGGGAGGAGATAGGCAGAGAGAGAAGGGCAAAAATGAATGACTGGAAATCCTAAGTCTCAGTAAACTTTCATTTAAATTAATAAATAAAATTTTTTTAAGTCAAAATACATACAGCACAGCTCTGTGACAGTATGGGGATACTCTAGGAACTCCACCTGCGTGGAGGACATGGCAGCTGGAAGGGCTGTGTGTCCCCACCATCCCACATGCTCTCTTGAGGCCTTGTACGGGGGAGCCCACACCCCACCCAGCCTGTTCCGACAGGCCCCGTGACTGGGCCACTGGCGTGTAGCCCTTGGAATGGCCCTCTCAGCACCCTGTGTCCAAGACCCCCACCCCATATGGACACTGGCCTCCTCGTTGGGTGAGGATGTCACCTGGGGGCAGGTGCTTCCTTATCCATCTGTCAGCTGAGTGTTTGGCATGTTCTTCACCTGGTGATAACTGTCAGTGTGCAGCACCTCCTCGCCATCTGGCCGTGTGCACGCCTGTGCACATGTGTCTATGTGCACACGTGTACTTCACTGTAGCTACAAGTGTTCACGTGTTTCTGTGTGCATGTGTGTGTGCGTGTATGTACGTGCAGGTGATGCAGATGTGTGCACCTATGTATGCATGCAGGTAGGAGAGTGTGCATGTGTGTGGACATGCAGGTGGATGTGTGTGCATGTATGTACATGAAGGTGGATGCAGATGTGTGCTCCTGCATAAACATGCAGGTAGGAGTGTGTGCTTGTATGTGGACATGCAGATGTGTGTACCTGTTTGTACGTGTGCGTGTGTACGCATGAGCTTCAGTGTAGGTACAATTGTGCATGTCTCTGTGTGTGCATCGTGTGCACAGGCAGGTGGATGCATATATTTGTGCTTGTGTAAGCATGCTGGGGTATGTGTGTGCACGTGTGTGTGTCAGTGTGTTCATGCTGGTGTACATTACAAAATGGCCATGTTTGTTTGGAAAAGCGCATTTTCTTTTTGCAGTGGATTAATTTAGAACAATCTGAGATTTGAAGGGTCACAGATTGTGTGAGGATTCACATGTAAGTA